ATTAATATATATATTAGATTTGTGTTAGATTTGTTTGATGAAAGAACGAAAAAATTAGAACGGTTTCGATTGAAAATAGAACTTAATGGTTTATTTTCGATATTATCGGTGGAAAATATTTTAGTATAAATATACATCATCGGAAAGAGAGGGAGGAAAGAGGGAGGTGGGCGGGAAGGAAGGAAGGGGTGAGGAGGGGGAATGTATTAATCGTGTATTTTCTTAAACACTCGTATGCATACATATATATATATATATATATATATATATATAAATATATGTATCTGTTTATCTTGTTTAATTTATTATTGGTAATAATAGTAAAGTTAATAATCGTCTTCTTTGTTAAAAAGATTGTTTCTCTCTCTCTCTCTCTCTCTCTCTTTCTCTCTTCTTTCTTCTCTCTTTGCGTGTTCAACGGATTTACGTTCCGCTTATTTCTCTGTCGAAAGTGAGTCCGTTGCCAGTTCTAAAATCGTCGTACTGACAATGACGTAGAATCTCGGTGAATCGCACTAGCAAAGTAAAGGAGAGAGTAAACGAGTGAACGAAATGAATTATCTTTTTCTCTATTAATCTTTTCCTTTTTCTTATTTCATATCATTCCAACAAATCTTCTATGCACGATACTATATATATATATGTGTATGTGTGTGTGTGTGTGGTCCTTAAGTTATTCTACATATCGAAAAGTATTTTCATTATTAGTGAGAAAATAACATTCGTTTCGATGTAATTTACGTCAAGATGGTGTTTAAATTTGTAAATCAAGCCAAACGATTGTCAATAAATTTTATTCTCAATTAATTTTATTACTTCCTTTATAACGAATCTTATTCTCTCACTTTTATGTAATAGGATACTCAAGATTGTATATATATATATATATGTATATGTGTGTGTGTGTGTGCATATCATTGAACATACAATCGTACATCGTGTTCTACGTAGAAATTCAAGTAGATGCACATCCGATGCACGAAAACCATTTTGGAATAAGATTTGCAAAAAAATATCAATGAACGTGTTTCTTATTGAGTTGTTCTATTGTTTTTGTTTTTAATCATTTCTCGTATCATTCGCTTTCGTCAAATTATTCGATACTCCTATGAGTAAAAAAAAAAAAAAAAAAAGAAGAACCGTTCGATCTATTTCTATGTAATATGATTTAAAAAAAAAACAAAATAGAAAAAGCAGCAAACATTATATTTATATTATAAAATATATATTTCCAAATTAATAATCATTTTTATCGAATATGTTTGTGAAGAGTAATTATTTAAAAAGTTTATTTTTTATGTTGGATATATAATAATAAAATTAAACTTTAATCAGTGTGTCGTAATTTGTACGTTATTATAATTCAATCGTAATTAAATGATCAATCTTCGAAAAACGATGAAATAAATTGTTATGGTAAAAATAATAACAAAAATCATTGTCTCAAGATGAATGTTTTCAGTATGATGATAATGATAGAGTGTTTTATACATTAGTCAAAGTTAATTACCATTAACAGTAATGAATAAAGAAAACACGTATGCACTGTTCTATTAGATAAGTGTGTGTGTGTGCACGTGAATATTAAACTTTGATGATTCACTTTTATTCGGGTGGGCGTGTAAGAATAATAAACCTGAAATTTTCTCGAGTACGTTATTATCCAGTTTCGTGTTTCTTTACATAAAGAAAAATAGGAAAGGGCGTTTTATTACGAATTTGTTTTTTTTTTAAATAATACCACCATTTGTATTGTTTAAAACACTTGACCGAAAATTACAAGAGACCCCGACCCCTACTCCCAGTCCCCCTTCCTCTCTCTCACCATCCATTAACACGTTTTCTAAAATCTAAACGCCATAAAAATTAAATAGAAATACGTTTTTCTTTTTCTTTTTCTTTTTTTTTGTTTTTGTTCTCGTCGAATTTTTAAATACCCTCAACCAACCCACGTAAGTAAACACAATTTCCATATAACACTGTGGAAATAAACTTTTACGAACTCCTTCCTGCGGCACGAATGTTTTCTTTCGTTTAACATACAATTTTCAATGAAACAACGCATCAATTTTATAAAAAAAAACTCGCGAATATAGTTACTTACTTATCTATATGTAATAAAGTTAAATTATCTAATTATTATAATACATATTTTTGGACTTATGCCTATCTATTATATCATTCATCCGTGAAATATCTAATTAACCTGATCCAATATCGAAATCTATAATAGTATCATCGTAAATCATAGGTTACCACTCAAAGTGTTGGAATATTGAAGAAATAGATTTTAACTATATCAACGGTGAGAAATCAATCGTTCGTTCGTGTGTACAGAATTAGAACTTGCATCAGAGCTTTCGATTGATCAGAAATATCACTGCATTCTACATTTGGAATAAAGGGGTGGTGCGTGGGGGAAAATAAAAAAAAAAATCGAATAGGAGTAAACATGTTTAAAAATAAAATCATTCGGTTAAATCAAATCACAATTATATTAATACGGAATATTTCTAAAATAAAATAATAATAATAATAATATATTTTCAATAATATCAGATAGATAAATTACTCGTATAAAAATCGTTCGAATTATTTTCTAAGAAATTTGATAATATTCGAGATTACAACAGGAAAGGAAAAAAATAATAATAATTGTCCTAATATTCGCGTAATTTGTAAGTAACCAATACCAAGTATGATACCACATGTAACGTAAACGTGGTAACGCATGGTTCATCGTTTCTGGCATCTCTTTCAATGGATTTTAACGGAGAAATATAAGATAATATATATGTATATAATTTTAATACGAAGTGTGTGTGTATGTGTGTGTGTGGAAATAGTAATGGGACACATCGTGTATACGTTGTCGACACTTACTTCTTGGATTTTATAGCTGGTGCGAACGGTCTTACGTTTTGTAGTTGTGACCTCGTAGGTCTCCTCGACCGTGGGCGACGAATTGTCATCCTCGTTCTTAATATTATTATTATTATTATTTTCCACGGTTAATTTGCTATCCTCCTCGTAATCGGTTGCGACGGAATCGTAACGATCATCCGTCACATCCATCCTAACGATAATAATCTCGCGTTATAATTATTTCCCGTTATTGTTTTTCTCTTTATCCTTTTTTTTCTTTCTTTCTTTCTTTCTTTCTTTTTAATTATCTCCGTATTTTTTCTTTTCACCCTTTTATATTAGACGAATAATAAATGAATATCTACTATTCACACTTTTAGGTTGTTCTTGTTCTTGTTGTTGTATTATTTTGGTTACTTTAATCCTCTTATATTTGTTTAGAGATTTTTCCCCGTTTTCGAATTATCTTCACCGTCGTCGATTATTCACCGATAATCCGATGATTTTGATTTGAAATATGAACAAAAATTAAATTTAATTTCTCGAGTAAATAATAAGGACGAAAATAAAAAAAGGGATAAAACACTTGGAATATGTTAAACGATATCGAAACCAAAAAAAAAGAAATTAATTAAGAACGCGAAGTAGAATAATGCGAGTCGTTGTTGTGGTTGTTGTTCGGGATTTTAAAAAAAAAAAAAATATAATAATTCGAGAAAAGATCGTCTCAATAAATTAGCCGATCTTACGAAGTTCGTTCTACGGAGGGACTGCCAATACTAAAAATCACCGACAACGTCTACGTTTACGACGAGAACCACGCCACTTCTTAAACTACGACGACGACGACGGCTACGACGACAACGACGATGACGACGATGACGAAGACGACGCAAAACGAAGAACGGCTTCTTCGAGGTAACTAGCGCCTTTACACTTTCCGAACAGATCAAAATAGAATCTCGAAGTTTTCCCTTAGGAACGTAGCGTACCAACAAAGTATATACGTTTCATTTCTAATCTTCTTAGAAATAAGGAAAACAAAACAAAAAGAAACAAAGCAAAATAAATTACCGAGAAAAAGAGAGAGAGAGAGAGAGAGAGAGAGAGAGAGAGATAGGTCGTCAAATTTTTGCCCTTTTCTAACGATTTCTTTTTCAAGGTATTATACAATGAAACCTTACAAATATCGTTTAGGTATTCGTCTAATTCGATTTACTTCGTGTTACTTTTAGTAACGTTCGAATAAAATATGTTTCGTTATATTTTTGATTGTTAAGAAAGGTGAATTTTTTTAACGAAATAAATATATAAATAATAATTGGAAGGATTTAACAATAGATTTATGTCATTTGTTCGTTATTTTTTAATGGTTTATAATTAATATTGTTTTAATGAAGAGGATTGAGTAATTATAAAGAATTAATATTTATTTAGGTATACGAATATATATGTTTTTAAAGAATAATATTTAAATTTTTAAATATAGTAATCACAAATTTGTAATGTACGTAAATTTAATATTAAATAAAAGTATTATTATTTGTTATTTAAGTAAATATATATATGAGGTATACCAAATTCAAGGATTATTATACTCTTGTATTGGCCAAGCTAAATATTTCCATATAGAAATTGATAAAAGGCTACTTCCGAGGCCGAATTTTTAACGACATTGTTCGCATTCGATGTTTCACGTTCTTTGAGATCAATTCGTTAAGATTTTGAGGATGTGTGGAAATGTGCAGTGGTCTCGAATGAATGAATGTTAGCGCAATATAAAGCTTATTTCAAAAACGTAGTAAAACCATGAAATAGCGGAAGCTTCCCTAACGTAGCATCAATTCCCATCGTACCATTCAATGTCCATTTCGATTAAACAAAAAGCACGGAAGCATTAACCGAAGAGAGAAATTCCTCTTCTAAATTTCTTATTTTTTATTTGAATTCATGAAAGTTCAACGAAAAAGGTACTAAAATCTAGAGTCTAGTTTCTATCTATCTCTTTCTTTCAATAAGTATATTATTTATTGTAAAATATAAAGTAGCTTCATCCTATTTACCATAGAGAAATCCTAGAACGTCTTTTTAATGGGTCTTCTTCCTTCGTGTAAGGTTTCTCATCGGAACACCGAGTATTTTATTTTTTTTTCGTTTTGTTTTTATTTGTCTTATTCCCTTTTTCGTTAAAATACGAACGTTAATCGATACCCGTGATAAAAGCCCCGATGTTTATTAATTATTTACCCGATTGTTATTGATTTTAATACAATTTTATTTTTTTTTTGTTTCCAATTGAATATAATTTCTATAGATGAATGAAAATTATTTCATATATATATCTATGGCAATATATTTGTAATGAATTATTTATTTTCTTCGATAAACAAACCCCTTTGAGATCGTACCGATTAATTCAATTTCGATTTTTGTTTTATTATTTTCATTTCGGTTTACGGGATATGGAACAAACGAGAGGAAGAGAGTGTAAGAGAGAGAGAGAGAGAGAGAGAAAAATTAATAGAGAGGGAAAGAGAAACGAAATTCCATGAAGAGATTAAAGGATAAGCTTTGTCACTTCAGTATTTCGAGCTTACCTATTCCAGTTGGTTTGTGTTAGAACACGTTGCTGTTGCATCTTTAGCGATGCCATTAAAATTCGTTCATCCCTTTATCTCTCTCTCTCTCTCTCTCTCTCTCTCTCTTTCATCATATTCCCAGTTTCCTATAACAACGATCGTTTAATCTCTCTGTTAAGCTCCTTCATGCGGTAATGCCATGAATAACACAATCAGAGACAAGCACACATTGTAATCCTGTATTTGTTAATAGCAATAATATCATATATCATATTCGCACGATCTTCAGTCAATCCCTAGTAGGTGTTAATTTTTCTTTTTTCTTGTTTGTTTTTTTTTCTTAACTAGTACACATAATCGTATCGAAATAATATTCGTTGATAAATTAATTGATGTGACGTTGTTTAAAGATTTCATTAGAATTTTTAACAAGAAAAAAGTACACATTCACAAATTCGGTGAATAAAAATAAAAAAT